ATTGTGTAAGCTATTATGAATCTTCAATCTCTCATCTGACCGCTTGTATCTCAGTATGAATTCACATGAATTGACGTTGCCTGTTATGCAATTCCTGGTTTCGAGGCGTTCAGTTATGCAACAACTCCGAGAGTGACCATCACCGAACAATGGTTATTCATCAATTTGTATGATGGTGATTTTTACCCTCTTTGTTATAACCTACCACCTGGATGGAGTTATGGATCATTAATTTAAACCTACGTGGATACCATGCATAACTCAAAACAAGTCGTATATACGTAATATTCTGCCAAATTAATTATTTGTTAATCACTAACATTATATTATGTTCATAATATAACTGTATTAAATAATATTAAATAATATTTAGAATGAAACGATTACTTTGCACCCAAAAATGTAAAATGAACGTTTTTTTCCCGTATGTCGTAAACACAACTAATGTGACGATGCAATTCGTCACAGTGCACAAAGTTTCCAAGGGCTACAATAAAAACACATTTAGATAAGAAAGTATTGTCACCGAACTATTCTTTGCACAACAGTGTCGAACTTTAAAGGTGATTTGTTAACAATTGCAGTCAGATAGTTTATAAAGTCTCATCTCAGTAATAGTCTGTCGTAACATAATAGATATAAGATGTGTACTTCGTTCCAAACCTGTCTGGATAATAATCTAAAATATTAATGATTTGTGTCCAAATTGATAATTAACAATTATGAAACAAAAGACTTTGATGAATTGTGACCCGGGTCAGATTTGTTGAGAAAAAAGTCGTTTCAAGCATTTCCCATTAAGATTCGTCTGCGGTGCTCGATATATTATTTCGTTCTGTACAAACCCTGGGATTTTATTAGTGACTTTATAACACGACTCTTTTAACAATGTTGCCACTACAGCAATATATGCTATGATTTTAGGTTTTCTTCACAAAAAATCAGTTCCATCAAGATCGAACATTGCCCAATTAAACAAAATGCACGAGACACTAAAACGGTAAAACGATGGTAATTATGGTACTGTAATCGTACGACCAAACTAACTTTAAATATTACAACACTCGGCAGTGCGAGGTGAGGTGCATATTTAATATATGAAGAGGAAACTAAATGAACCTGATTATAAAACAGATGATAATTTTGTTGATAAACTGACAAACTGAACACATGTTTAGCATATGTGAAACGTGTATAAAAATGAAGTTAAAGCGGAGGAGTCGTCACCTGCGCAAGCGTCAAATGGCCATAGCGTGTCATTGTTTACAAACAAGCGACTACCCATGAGCCTTTGCGTTTTAGCGTGTGTTGTTATCGACGCTTGGGACTCAATTCCCGCGCGTGCGCAGGTGACGACCCTCCCGCTTTAAGAATACACACAATCACGTAATTCTAGGTACGCGGGTACAATGGAATACGTGGAGTAAATGAACTATTTTTTTTTCAATTTCGTATCCGTATGATACTGAATGTATCCGTCTAACACTGTGCCAATTACTGTGTCTCGAATTGTTGTTGACATCTCACTACAATGTGAGTATACATTGCATTTCAGGGAGTCACGTTTCCTTGCATGACTGTATCTATCTGGTGATCACCTTGGCAACAGTCGGGACACGTGACATTGTAGACATTTGAAATAAATTATAACGCGTTGAACATATATATTTTTCTATCAAAAATATGGATCAATTAATTAATATTTTAAAATATTATGCTTCTGTCACTGTAACGCCATAAGTTACAGCATTCGGTGATTTTGCGATACTTTACGGGGTTTCTGCATCATACCATATTAGGAAATGGGCATTCCAAATATGGAACGCTTAAGCGAGAAAGTTATAATAATTTTCATCATATTGATCAAGCGGCTGGTTTGCAAAGATGTATAATTATAAGGTTATATTTTTTTGGTGTTGGGGGAGAGCTTCTCAATGTACTCAAAGCAGGGAGTCATCACCTGCGCATGCGTCAGATGGCCATAGCGTGTCATTGTTTACAAACAAGCGTCTACCCATGAGCCTTTCTGTTTTGGCGTGTGCTGTTATCGTCGCTTGGAACTCAATTCCCGCGCTTGCGCAGGTGACGACCCTCCCGCTTTAAAGCTGAGATTAATAAAGTGAGAACAAGTACTCAAGGTCTCGGCGGGATTTATCGGAATCTATTCAATATAGACTACTAATAAAGTTTTTATTTCATTAGTTGAAATTTCACCTTAAGGTGATGTTCTTATTTTCATGTTACCTTGAGGTCAATATTAAATACAGTCCGAATGCACTAAAGGCTGGTGGGGCGTAGTCGCGCGGTCGAGTTGCAATCTCCAGCGGGTAAACATAGAAGGAAAGCGCACGCTGCGTCTTGGCCGGACTTTATAATGTGAAATAAACATGTATTTGGAATATAACACACATTACTGATATTTTTGTGTTAAATATTAACTTTAATAATAACAATATCAGTGGACATTATTGCATTTATCAAGATGAAAAAATACCACACCCATCACAGTCAATCCAACGAAATATATAAGAGCAAAATCATTTCAAATATAAAAAACACAAAGTAAGAAAAGTGCAATCAAATAAAACTCAATAAAGTTTAAAAAAAGATGTAATAAACACATATTTAAGACATGAACTAACAAAGTCACGATAAACATATTGACAAATGATGGCAGTGAAATACTAGTAAGTGGAATATCCGAACTCGTATCTATGAAATCTCATAGCGTTCACTCCTTACTAGTTTTTTTTTTTTGATTTTCAAATAGCCAGTCAATGATCACTGCGAGTAATTTAGGAGTGTCTCAACTTGGGGAAAATTGCATCAAGGAACAAAACGTTGCATAATTCCTGATAGAGATTACTGATCGTATAGTCAGAAAACTACTCGTTTGTTGTCGGGTTATTTGGATATTATTAACACGAGAAACAACATCAGGTAGAAAAACATTAATATAAAAGCATGTATATAAACCGAACACTAAAACAGTCATACATAATACTAAGTCATTATGTTTTGTCGCGATGCGCCGAATGGAACATTTCAGTCAAAATGAGTTACGAGCAAATGTGCAATGGGTCGTGAGAAATTGCTTAGCGGAGCTTACTCATGGCGGAGGTCAGGTCTGCCAACAACAACGACCTATGGGAGGGATAATTTTCATATTACTGTCTCATTATTAAATTAATTAATTTAGTCGGTGGTACCAAATAACAAATCAATCGTGTCCCGCCCAGTCCCACCAGGTTACATGTACAGTATCGGTACTGATCAGTTAGTATGAGTGAAGTTGTTAACATGAGAGCCTAAAATGTCTGGGTGCGGCAGTGTATTATTATAGCGAAGGTGACAGCGGTTATTCGCTCACGTACAGCAGTTAAGTTATATCAAGGCTTTCTGCACCATTTGATTTTGAAGCGCAGCAGACGGGTTTGTTGACTTGACTTTTAAAAAGTTAAAGCACACTGGCAGTCAAAAGAACGCATGATTGGCATGTAAGTCGCTTAAAGGTAAATGTATTCTCAAGTATTTTGTGAATAAACCGAGAACAATGACCAACCCAAATAACAAATACAATACAACGACGCGGCCTGGTGGTACGAGTCAACTTTCAACGACATATATCAACTACTTTTTTGATGTTCACGCATGCGCGCGGATAACAACTTATGTTGGCACCGTAACCACTGATGCACGTAATGCAAATAGTATTGTCAAAGTAAGGTTGTAAGGTAATTTCATATGCAATTTCGATTTGCATATTTGCCACATGAGTGGAAGAATTAAAGTACTTGGCAGATCATAGTACATTGTTTTGAACCTGACTACCTCGAAAAAGCGATACGAAATCGATTGAAATGTACAATCTATGTGTTGGGGGCGTTCCAATTTCTTGTGAACAAATACAGTATTTAAATCTCGTTGTATACGCAACATGGGACCCATACTGAAAGCAACACGGAGCGACGACTGCGGCCAATATCAAAGATTTCATATCACATTTTAACAATTTCGCAGCATCCATAAACGTATAAAAACATAAAACAGTGGATACATGACTTTGAAAAAACAAAACAATCAAACCAACAGTATTGCAAAGTGGGTCAATATTTTTGTAACAAACTGGCAATATTTATAGTTCAAAAGTAACAGTTTGTAATGGTAAACTGATATAAATATTGTCGATTTGTTAGCAATACAGCGGGTTATGTGTTACACTGCAGGCTGAGTTGCTTCTTTGTTAACAGTAATTGGTTCATTGAAGTATATATCTACTTGACTCACAGAGCTAAAACCAGTAAAGGCAGTAAGCTTGTTAAAATATACAAAATCAACTGGCGTAGAAAAGAAAACACAACAAAACAGACAGCAAAAACTATAGTTAAAATATGTTTTGAATATCCGTAAACACAAACATCGAGGTATTAAAGAGCGTTATGTCCCTGTACTGTTATGTTTACAGAAATACAAACAAAATGTGGACACTGTTCTTCATAAATGACATTATAAACACTTGGCTGTATATTATAAATTTTGTAAAACACTATTTAAAAAAAAAAAATTAAAAGCGTACTCTGCATAAACAAGGGCGAGAGTTGCCGGCGAGACACGGCTATTTCTGGAACACTTCCGGCTGCTTATTGTGTATTGGCTCAATTTCATTAAAATATAACATTAAAAAGACACAATCATATCAATGAATAAAATAGTGATGCCTGCTCTCAAGTAAAATGATATTATTTTGTTTATTAACATACACATTCTTTTTTTTGTATAAAATTTGCACTCGGCAGTTTTATTTATTTGTATCTCGTAATATATACGACTTGTTAACGGTGGGAGTGGTGCCTTTTAATCGAACAGCCGAACTATCAATATCATTGCATAATAAAAAAAAGTGACGAGTAACGTTTTCGTCAAATGACAGGGCAATACACGCATTGTAATGACATTACAGTACACGTACTATGATGTTAATGTGTGTTTTTTAATCTACATCGAATTGTGTTGACTCTATAGTCGGGAGATGGGCAATAAGAGTATTGTGCTGTCGAGGGTGTCAGTTCAGTTCAAGGTTGGGACATGTTTTTAATAGAATTGTTTTTTCCATCAGCTGGACACGAACTGGTAGTAAAATATACAGTCTATTTATAGTTTAGTCAGCCATATTAAAATTTGCATATCAATTCGATTGATATGTTTGTTTGCATAGTGGCTAAATTTTCTATTGTCACGGCACAGAATAGAAATATTTATATCAGAATTGAAATACTTCCTGATGATATATTTATGTTATACAAGATACACGACACGAGAAACGACAAATCGCGACAAGACACCACCGAAGACCAAATACAAAACGAATGTGACAAACGATAGTTCGAATGTGGTGTAATATTCACTAAAAGAAGTTAGGAAGGATCCAGGTGTGTTTTGTTCAGAAAATGCGTGGATCGAGTTTTCAAAATGAAATACATGTAACTGGTTATAAAATATATAAAAAAAAATAGTATACACAACGTAGTCAATCGATAGTAGATGCCATGTATTTGGATACTACGTGACTCGCCCCGTAACCTGAATATGAAACAGCGACTTTGGTGCACAATAAGTAAAAAATACACAAGTGAACAAAATTTTTTTGTGTAGTATGGGCAATACCACGATAACTGCATTGAACTTGATCATTGCTGTTAGCGCACTGTCACATTTAAAAAACATGTCATCTCAGAGAATCCATTTATCTGGATCGTCAGAGAGTCTTAGCGTATCATGTTCTGACGTATTGTTCTTATTCTTTCTCATTTCTTCCCGTTTCTTTTTCCTGGCCATCTTCATCCGATGAGAAGTAGAATCTTTGTTTTCTTCCTCCGACACGTTGACAAACTCAATGTTTTTATTCGGGGTGGCGGTTCCGTGTTGCAAGTCGTTCATTCCGTTACGGGTTTCGATGTGTTCATATGCGGGGTTGTTGTAGCCGCCCTCGACAAATGGTGGTGGTGACGGCGGTTCGAAATCCGGTGGCGGTGGAGTATCAGGCGGACGGTAATCAATGGTGACTTCGTTCATTTCGATAGTTTGGTTCGCTCCGCCTTCAAACTGTTGAAGATCAAGAGCCAGGTCGTCACGTCGATTCATCGCCATATTCTGGTTTCGGTTCTTTTTCTTCTTTTGATTCATTCTTTCGCGTTCTTCCGTTTTTGCGGTACGTCTACAGCAACACGCACACGAAACGCCCCCCGAGACAAAGTACATAACCATCACTGTGATGATGACGGTAAACAACGTGATCCCCGCAATTACCCCAATCATAACTAACACGTTATCTATATCCCTAGGCGGGCTTGGCTCATTTTTTCTAACTATTACACCAGTTTCGTTGCCCTCTCCCAGATCATTTACTGCGAAACACGACACCTCCAGGCCATAATAGGCTCCAGTTATGTTGAAAACGGTGAGGTATGACACCTGTGTATCGTTGGACACCATAACAGACGTGTCATTTACCTCTACTTCAGAACCATTGAATGTCCACACAAACGGTTCAGTGACTTCAGGGTTTGCGGCTGCGGAACATTCGAATACAACATCATCACCCGTTGCAGCTTCATATCTTCGCGGGCTTACGGTAACGACTGGTCTGTATTTGACAGAGAACGGTCCGATTTCGCACGTTCTACTCTCGTCCAACGCCACGTGCGATTCTTTACAAACGTACGTTGCTTGGTCGTCATCGGGGGACAGGGACCAAGTGTACGTGTTCTTGGCATTGTACATTTCCTCCATTCCTTCATAAGTCGCGTATGTCCCAGAGACCGTGGTTCCTCTCCGCTTCCACGCGAGTCCCGCAGGGGGCATCCCACCCTTGGACGTGCACGTAATGCTAACAATGTCCCCTTCTGTGTCACCGTCGATTTCAAGTTCACAAATGGGCTCGACGTTAACAGGTGGTCGAGGCATTGTTACGTTCAAATAAGCAACACGGAGCTCGGTACTATTATCAGACGATGGCAGAGTTATCAAACAGCCGTACTCACCGATATCTTCGAGAGTCGCATCGGATACTTTCAAGTTATATTCGCCATTGGTGTCGTTGCCGAACATTCCATAATTTGGATACGCCGTATTACGGTTTTTGAAGGGACCTATTAGGAACGCAGTTTCCGATTTGTCGAGTTTAATATACCAATACACCTGGTAGTCCTTTAAATTCCCTAAATGGCACTCTAGTGTGGCGTCTTCTCCCACGACGGCTACGTGGCTCGATGGCTCAACGAGAAAGACGGGGTCAGCGGCGGTGTGAAGCATGGACGCCGCCATGATTATGATGACTGCCCACAACAACATAGCGTCAGTGAAAGTGTTTATACGCCGATTGGAATCGATGATTTTCAGATCCTATGATGTACACATGAGACGAAAATACACCAGTTTCACCAATTTAAAAAAGCTGAGACGCTCCTATACAGAAGCACTGTCGATCAGAGGGTTACATTTACGTTCCAAATCAGAAATACGCTGTATTTACTCCACCCGGTCCCAGCTGCAAACGGCTGACTAACACAGGGTGTGACGTTGTATGCAACACAATAGAATCTACACAATGGGAGATGAAAACGAACTGGGCATTCCGCGTGTACAGGGTCAACCTGTCACTGCATGCTTGCACGAGTGATTACTTTCCACTTGAATCTTCGGTTTTAACCATCGAAGCCTTCTAGATGCAAATCACATTACTTAAAAGACACACAGACTTTATATCAATTTAGTTAAAAAGGCTTGCGGTGTTTTACCGCGATATTAAAGCAATAACAATGGTTGCGTTCACGATGTATGTAAATGCATACACACGCTTACATGTGTTTATATCTAGCATACGGTTGAAAAGACGGGTTGTTGGTATTTATAGCGAATTCGTATTACCGACAGTACCATTCTAGTATATTTATAAATGTGTCGATTTGCGTGTTTTTAAAGAATATTTGTGTAAACTAAACCCGACATACTACGCACATGCAATTAAAATACTCCCATCAACAAATTTCGTTACTTGAATTAATCGCTTAAAGCCCGGTGGTCGTCGCACAACGCGTGTTCGAATTTCATGTGAATAAACAACGTATTTTACACGTGTTGTATACGTCGCTATCATGAGTCCCCATATCGAACAGGAAGCGGTACGACGACCACCGCCCTTTAACGAGGTTGACTAAATTTAGAATGCTTACTAATACATACCCCGGTTTAGGAACCAATTTGTAAACTACGTTTATAAACAAGTAGTCGATCGTGTCAACTATTCTTTTCCCGTGTGTTCCCATGGTAACAGGTTTATTTGAATCGCGGTTCACATGTATATTATCGCACACGCTGAGACACCCTGCATCAGTGATATTGTATTAACGACAATCCATCAAACACTCCGGAACAGTTACCCATGGAGTTGATACAAACGGCTAAAAAATAAATATAAAATTTTTGCTATAAAATATTAGTGATACTAACAGTTGTGAAGAAGCAGTTACCTTTTTAAAAATGACGTTGACAATAATGAAAGAAATAATTCATACATCATGACATATTCCTTATAGTGGTGTATTTATTTTTAGATTACAAGAGTAACAGTGAATATGGTAATTCAATATTTCTACTGATGTGGTCGCCATTGGTTTGAAAATATCCTCTTTTGAGTTTCTAGAAAGTCGCTTGACTCATTCGCTTTCCTAAAATATTGCGCAGCTACAAGTGTCGTGCGTCGATGTTTTTTTGTTGAGAAATATGCCTTAATAATACACGTTCTTTTGCGTTGTTTTTTTGCGAACTCGTAAATAATCACCAATTTTAGGCGGAATATTGCTACAATGGGGAAAATGACAGTGATGTATGGTGTTACAATTATGTTTGGAGTTCAGTTCAGGAGTAAATCTATTAAATACATTTTGTAGTACCTTAAACACAATTATGTAATTTTGTCAACATCAATCTTCGTATGACATGTTTGACAACGCACATAATTTTATTTTGATATGAAAGAAATAGAAAGAAACCAATCACACGATAGATACAAAAACAAATAATATAAAAAGAAAGAAAGGCAAACACCATGTAAAATTACTCTATCGTCATTGCAAATAAAACGGCATAACGGTATAATGGACACGTGTTGTCTGGTACAACTATCGCGAAGTAGCCGCGTAACTTCATAGCTGTTGTCAACCAATGCGAATGTAAATAGAAAATATACAACTATAACACGAATCATATTCAGAATATAAAAAAAAACGTCAAAAGCATTTTTTCTTTATTCCTCAGCTTATTATTAAACGGAAAGGGAAAACACGGCAGGCGCGTTGTGCCGTGGATTATCCTGCTACCTGAAATTAAAGCGGGAGAGTCGTCACCTGCGCATGCGTCAGATGGCCGTAGCGTGTCATTGTTTACAAACAAGCGTCTACACATGAGCCTTTGCGTTTTTAGCGTGTGTTGTTATCGTCGGTAGGGACTCAATTCCCGCGCGTGCGCAGGTGAAGACCTTCCCGCTTTAAATTAGTTACGTATCAAATCATAACATGTTTAAGCTCTTCATTATACGGGCCATTTGGTGGCATGTATTCGTTTAGTTCTACTCTGTGGTGAATTGCGACGATAACTGTTAATCAAACATGCAACGCCATTGAGCAACGCAGCCATGTTAGATGTGTTGTCTATTACATGCGGCACAGTGTCACTAAAACCGATATTTGTGTTTTTTTGTCGAAGTCCTCAATTTTTTTACCACTAATTGGTGGAAGTAATTGACACCATATTTCATTAAAGAAGCGCGCCAGAAACAGAACATTTTTTCCAAAACGGTGTTTTGACAGGTACATTACGTCAGTGCGGAACAAAACAGCCCAGAATACCATATACACCAATGAAGTGCTTTGTTATTCTGTGAATTTTATTTTGTAATTTCGGGACAGTTAATTCCAGCCACGTGTGCATATACATGATCCTACATCGAATAAAAATTAAAACGTGCTTTTTAATCGAGATTTTGTAAATCGTTTTATTAATGAAATTCTTTCGTGGATTTTATGATATGACCTCACACTAACAACATTTCATTTTAAACTGTCAGTAATACGCCAATAGGAGATGACGCCTAATACAAGTAGTCACATGATACTGTCAAATTTCACATCAATTGACTCACAATATTGATGCCGTCAAAAATTATCGCTTCGAGCATAAGATTTGATTAAGATTTTAAAAAGACCGAATATGACACGACAGCGAGGCCAGTCAGAGGAGTTACTTAAAGGAAACGTTGTAATACAATGAACTCTGTTTTCATTGTACGTTATAACAAATGAAGCTTTATCTAATTGAAACAATTTCCTGTAAATCGTGTCTCATTGTGATATTTTAATATTTTGACGTGTTAAGTAAAGTCTATTTTTTTACACGTATGTATCCCAAAGGTAGTATTTAAAAAATGATTCAAGACAGAGGCAAAGCACAACCCAGCTTAATTCAATACACAGTGTGCTCAAACCTGATTTAGCTCCAATAATATATATATATACATAAAATGTATAAATATATAAAAATAATTTTAATCAGAATGAGTGTGACTGTGTTTGCAAAGCCTGACATATATAAGCGGCAAGATTTGTTAGAACTAAAAAAAGGATTTTAAAATAATGCCTTGTTATATACAACTCACGTACGATTTTATAGTTAGGATTTACGAAACAACATGACATGCGTTCTCAATATATGTATCTAGGATGAAGCAACGAAGTTGCCTCGTGTGTATGATATAATTGTGTCACCAAGATGGGCCAGGCAGTTTCGTTTGAAAAACCGT